TTTTTATAGTAGGGTTCGATTTTATTTGGTGATTAAGGTGAAGATGTTCAAGAAATGTTCACTTTAGTTTGGTGTTCTTATTATGAATAAGTAAATGAATTCTTGTTTTGCAGATATAAATCCCTACACCTAACAAGTACTACACTTAATGCGTATTGCTATTGATATTTTCTTGTTAATGTGATCAAAATGTCTATGCTATTTTTCTGATTATGCGTATGATCTGTTTTAGGTGGTGTTTGCAAATGCTTTTAAATAAGCAGAAGTTAGTGATTCTGATTTAAGTTCAGGATAAGTGTTTATTCCTAAAAGCAGGGGGTGTTTGCAAATATCAAAAAAATCAACTTAAAGCACCCAATAAAAAAGTTGTAGTGTTTGCAAAATAAACTTTAATTTTCTGCTTATTTTTTTAAAATGTCTTAAATGCCCTAATTGAGTACAAACTCATTTTTTTAAAGGAAAATTTCATAGTCGGATTTATAGCCTTGTTGTTCTATGCAACAATTGCTATAGCTAAACCAGTGCAAAGTAAAATGATTTACAAAAAAAAATCATATTTTCTTTAGTTCATCCATTCTACAAACAGAACAGATAAGACAAACTCAAAAGGAAAACGAGAGGAATAAAACATATCTAAACACTAATGAATAAATATTCCAATTCTAGAAAACGCAATGGAGGTACATATATCATCTCTAACCCTGTCCATGCCACCATCAATGACGTCAAAATTGGGTCCATGAATATTGTCATTGGATCGACGATTACTAGTCCTATTTGGCAAATACTCGGGGTCACGATCATATTGTGAAAAATCTTCATCTAGTGCATCCACTTTACGAATAAAGTTATGAATTGCCATCGTAGCCGGGACAAGCGCTACTTGATCTTCCCATGAAATATTGATAGGTATATCTTTCATCGTGTAAAATCTTTCTTTCCAACATCCAAACGCTCGTTCAATCGTACTTCTTATTGACGAGTGAAAATGGTTGAAGACTTCATATTGATTTGTGTATGTAGTCGCTCGTTGAAAATCTGGAAGATGATATTTCTGATATTTGTATGGTGCAAGAAATCCTGGTATATTTGGATAACCGGCATCAACTAGGTAATACTTACCTATCACAAATATTGATACAAAACTCAGGTATCATTAATAATGCCGATAGTCTAATAGGCAAAAAAAATATGAATCTGAAAATGAAAATAAATCAAACCAGGAGGCGGCATTGGAAATTTTTTTTCTGGATTTCTGATGGTGTTATAAAATATTCGAGTATCGTGCGCGCTCCCCTCCCAACCTGGCAATACGTACGTGAAACACATATCAAAATCACATACTGCCATAATATTTTGAGTAGGAGTTCCTTTCCTTCCAATAAATGGAGTTTGGAGCTCTTTCCGAAGAGCTGCCTTAATGTGAGTTCCGTCAATTGCACCAATACAATCCTTAAGATTTTTTAAATTTAATCGGTTAGAAGTTAAGAAAAGATAATATTGATAAATGCAACCATTAACTATATAAATTACCTTAAAGTGGGGATAAAATCTCTCGTTTGTTCGAATGTAATCATGAGTAACAGAGTTTTCTGAAAATGGGATAATCCAATCCATGGACATCAATGTGCATGCTTTTAAAACTCTGTGAAATGATTTACTTATTGTAAACCCAGACCTCTGCAGCATTTCTTGACACTGTCTATTTCCCAATCTTGGCCCCATTAGCATGAGAAATGTTGCTACTTGTTCCTCAACTGCAACTCCTCTCATTGGCTTCAGACCATATTCATCAACTAATAATCTACAAAGTTGAAAGAATGTCTCTATTCTCATTCTTAAGTTGTCCTTGCAACGCCGAGGATTTCCATTGAATATGGACAATAAAGCTGCCCATCCACTATATTCTCTATCGTGACATGGATTTTTATGTAAATAATTTTTATAATAAGTTAATGCCGCAATAGATAGGGAGATAAGAACCTGGACATTGGTTCTTTTAGATGTGGGTGTGGGTGCACTTTCAATTTCATCTCCACTGCTCAAAGCATCTAAACTGCAACTACTTGATGATTGTGAAAGAGAATCCATATTTGAGTCATCATCAATATCACCCATTCTGTTTCAATAACAAAGTATTTAGAAAAACAAACTATTAAATTAGTCAATTTCACCAGATGAAAACACATTAGGTGATATAATAACTCAAAACTCAAAAAAACATAACAACTCAAGTATTGCTGACAATCACACTTACTCAATGCAAAATAGACAATAACAAATAAAAAAAATAGTTAAAAGACTAGCAACTAATGAACTTCGAAAATATTTAGTGAAATTCCAAAGTATTAAACCAAAAGTTCATTTTCCATTAGAATGATGCATGGTCGTTATCGAGCGAACTTTGATCTGATGTAATCTAAGTGGAACGACGCCTCGTGTCCCGTTCCATTTGCTCCTCAAGCCACTTGAATCGAATTTCATCTTTCTTTATGGTAATAAATAATTCCTGAATAGCTGGCTTTAAGAAAATGCGAGTAGCATACATCCATAATGGATCACCTTCCTCAATCTCAGGCATATTCTCCAATATCTCGAGACAATTTTGTATGCTATATTGACGCCCTGTATCAACAATATTGCGAGTTGACTCATGTTCCATTGCTTCAACCATCCTCTCAAGGCACGTTGAGATCTTGTCACCATTAGTAACCTTCTTAGCCTTTCTCTTACGAAGACGATTGAGAAATTCAGTGCTTTTCCTTTTCGAACTAGTTGGTGCTTCAATTGGTAGCTCGTTTGGTGCATCAGTAGGTATTTGAGGCTCAGATTGTGTAACACTTTCAAAATCTTCCGATGGCTCACAATGAGATTCTTCTTCCATTTCCTCTTGCATGTGTTGTGGCATCACACCGGAGCTCGGAGTCCATGAACTTGTCCCATTTGCAATCACATCCGAGAATAACATATCTTGTTCATATTGACACAATGGACCTTTCTCCCGGAACTTAGCTACACTTGGATTTACCTGGGAAAAAATAATTATTGAAAAATTTATGGAAAACACATTAATTTAAAAAAATTAACATATTTTATCAAAAAATAAAGTTACATGTATCTTCTTTTGCCACCACTCAGGGGTCGCATCAACCGTGCCCTTTATATGATTCCAACCTAGTCCCGACTCACCGTGCAAAAGAGTTTTCCATTGACCCCATTCTTTTTTCATTAAATCCCATTTGTTCTTCAATTGAAGTCTTGTGTATTTGCGATTTGTTGCCGCATAAAATTTTTTAATGAGATTATCCCATCCAATTTTATTAAAGTGACTGCCGGGACGATTTCCCGCTGTCATTTCTTGGACACATAACCTAATGAATATTTATGTGCTTTTGTTATCCCAATGAGCCTCGACAAACTCTGAGTTTTTTGCCACATTACCTCTAAGGCCGGTTACATCGATTGTATTTGAGTTTTGTTCATTATTGGACAAAGGGATCTCAAATTCGGTCACTAGTGTGTTAAAACCAGTAGCTAATGTGTTAAGACCATTAAGATGAGAAGACATGCTCACACACAGTGCTGATCAAAATTTACAAAAATCAAAGTTAAGGAATGGCAACAATAAAAAAATTAAAAATCAATGTTTCATGTAAATGCGTATAAAGACAAACAAATATTTGGCTAATCTAAAGACTGAACACATGTGAGTTGGCTATGACATGGGAGAAATCAATGCATATACAATATAGAAATAAAGTCAAACACACAAACACAAAACACTTGCCACCGAATAAAAAAATAAATCTTAGATAGCATAAAAGGTTGAGAATTCATACCAATTGCAATTGACGTTTAAACTTCTATGCTCTGAGAATGGAATTTACAGTGCGGGAGGCGAGACCAAGAATATATATATTCTGAGGTTTTTGGTCGTGTGTTAGGGCATCTCCAAAGGAGATGCTAAATGGTACATATCAGCTATAAATATAGCATTATACCATTTATGCACAAAAAAAGGAGCTCCAACGGAGCAGCTAAATTTTAGCTGGATAGGTAAAATCATGCCTCCAAGTGGTATATATACCATCTACTGTAGACAAAAGCTAAAGGAAAAAGTATTAAAATAATCAATAAACCATCAACAAATAAATACAAACCCCACGTGTAAACATTGAAGTGGGTAGATATATAGTATCTCCTAATAAAATATAATAAAATGCTAAATTTTAGATGCTATGCTTGGAATAGGTTCGTAAAAATTGTGTTGCTATAACACTATTCATTAGGTATTATAGATATAGCATCTCCAATTTTAGGTCTTAACCTTGGAGATGCTCTTATAGGAGGGAAATTTTAGGTCGTGTGTTATAGGAGGGAAATTTTAGGTCGTGTTTAGATTTTGGCGCTTTGCACGGGGTAAAAATGTATTTACATTAAAATATTATTTTTTAATTATTTACAAAACTGCCATTAATATAAAAAGCCGCTTCAGAGGTGCTTTTCAGATTTTAGATTAAATCAGATTTTTTTAAGAGAATCAAAAGCATAATCATGTATTGCAAACACTCAAAAACTGATTTTGAAAAAAAAAGAAGCTAATAATCACTTTTAATAAGCATTTGCAAACACCACCTTAATACTTTGTACTTTAATCTTGTATGAACCGTTATACTCATGTTTACTTGTAAAATTGTTAACATGAGTACATGACCTTTGAAGAGCCTATGATTGTTTACTCGTGAGAGCTCTAGAGAGGAGCCTATAATTCTCATAGGAAGCGGTCCCACTTCCACACTCACAAGGTGAATTCTATCAAGGATGTTTACGTAACTCCAACACCCCACCCATCTGGGCTATAGAACTCATTAAGAGATCAAAGTCTCAACCTCACAATTCGTTACGAGCTTTATTAGTGCACACACATCATAGGGATGGATAATAAAAGTGTGCACTTTTATCACTATCAAGTTGCTTTCAGATTCGTTTTTTCTCGCCCAGTTCGTAGGATCTCTAGCCCCTAGGCGGTAGTATCCTCGTCAACAACTTTACAAAATATATTAGGCTTTAATCCAATCCCCCTCGATGCATTTCAGATGATTTCTGAAATAATATGAAATATAATTTCACAAATTTTGTAGCGCTTATCTGACATTTAGTCTCGTAGACTCAATGGTTTATTAACCATTCTCAAATAAATTTACATGTAATATCTCATAGATTTTCACGTGAATTTTCACATATATTCACAGTTCTGTATTTTCTTTTAATGGTTTCGGATTCCATTAAAAGATTCTCGCAATATGTCAACTGCAGTTTTTGAATCACATCTATCAATGCACAAATCATTGATTTTTCACAATCTCATTAATCAAAGCACAAAGCATTTGATTTATCACACATTAGGATTTTATATACCACATTTGGTATCAACCGGCCTCCTCGCAGGTTAATGTCAAAATAATCAATCAAAATTGATATGAATTTTGAATTTTAAATTATCGACATATACATCATTCACACAAGTTGAAAATTTTAATCAAATAGGTATATAATTCCTATTATTTAAATTTTCAATAATCAACAATATTGAAAACTTTAAAAAACGTTTTACTTCACACATCACAAATCACAAATTTATTTTCGCAAATTAATATACACTCTTAGGCCTTTGTTAACTAACACCAATGTTATGTATATGCAAAATTAGGCCTCATAATTATAATTACTTGTATAGTCAAGATTGCCAAATAATATTTTTAATCCACAACAATAATATTACTAGACTATTCACAATTTTGCAATCATAAAATGAACAAGTAACATGGATCATATTAAAGTCAATTATAACACACTCATATAAATATATAGTAAACCCCCACTATTTCTCAATATTAAAAGCATATTAAATAATGCATAAAACCCATGCAAATTTATCTCTACCCAATAAATCATGAATTAAAAATTAAAATATATCAATTGTGATTTGTGACCATACTCACAAACACCCCAGTCCCCCAATATATCTCAAATTGATAAACAATGCCCATTAATCGACATTTTTCATGAAGTATTATATAGAGGTAATCTCCGTAGCATGTAACGGAATATACTTATCATGCACTATTATTATACTATTCAAGAAAAAAAAAATTCATAAATAATGTAGACACGAAGAATATACCTGATTCGATAATTTTCAATTATGAATTCTTTCGATACCTCAAAAACGCGCATAATTTGGCAGCTCTACCAGTGCTCAGTATTTGGAGCATATCTCTTTCGTTCGATGTCCGATTTCAGTGATTCAAGATGTTTCGGACAGCCAACAAAAATTCCTACAACTTTCGTGTTTTACACATTCTCAGAATATGATTATATCAGGTCCGAAATTTGACTCAAAGTCTGCCTTCGTGAATTGTACGAAAATTCACCTATACCAAAAAATAAGATCGTTAATTTTTTTCGTCAAATCAAAATACAATAAAATATAATTTATAATCTCCCCTTTTATCATCAAGAGCCTATTTTGGATCATCGTCAAAACTCATCTTCATAGGATCAAACGAATTCGTCTTAAATTGTTGGAACCACGGCTGCTATTTGACGATTGATCATGAAACTTGTGGATGAGGCTTGGACTCCATTTGTTCTCTAATTTTATAGGTAACAAGTTGCTGCAATGAAACCACTATAATATGAAGATGGACAAGGTGAGACGCGAACTAGGTCGCTCTCTTAAGACGAATTTCACGACCCCTTCTCTAATGAGGTGCAAAAAGGTTCCGATCGTGTCGCCTATGGGATACAACAGCCCAGCCTATCTCTCCGCAGTAACTTCACCGAAATTGCACATTCAAGTGAAGTAGAAGCTTACACCCGACCCGACACACAACAAGAGCTCAATATATGTATATATTATATGATCTTTTTGAAAGACATTTTTCTTTCACTCTTTATATTCTCTCATCCATTATTTCAAGCCACAAATCCAACCTTTTATAGTGTAAAATAAGGTCATCATAAACTCTATATTTAATATAGAATTAGGGAATTTATGGTGTTTTATGTAGGAGAATAATGACTTTGAAGGTTTCAAATTAGTGGTCTAATGACCCTCATAAAAATGGTCAAAGTCATTATTATATTTTATAATAAAATATAATATTTTTATTAAAATAACCCAACAGAGTCAGAAGACATCAAAATAGAAGAATTCGGTGGAAAAAACCCAAGAAAGTATACATTTATGTGTTTTTTTACCTAGAATATCGTTTTTCCAAAAAAAATCCTGCACAGACGCAGTCGACATGTACATGTCGAATTTTATAGACAAAAATCGACATTGAGATGTCGATTTTTAAGTACAAAATCGACACCTTAGTGTCGAAATTTAACTGTTAGCAAACTAGTCCAAATATACTAAATTTCGACATTAAGGTGTCGAATTTGTGGACATATATTCGACACCTTAATGTCGAAATTTAGTTGTTTCATATTAAAAAAAAAAAAAAATCCTGCGCAGACACGATCGACATGTGCATGTCGAATTTTATAGGGCAAAATCGACATTGAGATGTCGATTTTGTAAGTACAAATCGACACCTTAGTGTCGAAATTAAACTTTTAGCAAATTAGTCCAAATATACTAAATTTCGACATTAATGTATTCGAATTTATGGAC